GGGGGGGGGGGGTGCAGAATCCAAGAGAGACTTAGTGTCTGTTTCTTAAAGATAAGAAAAAGTTAAGGGGCACCTGGGTAGCTTGGTCAGTTAAGCGTCCAACTCTGGGCTTTGGCTCAGGTCATGATCTCACAATTCGTGAGTTCGAGCCCCGCGTCAGTGCGGAGCCTGCTGGGGATTCATTCTCTCTCTCCCTCTCTCTCTGCCCCTTCCCTGCTCATGCTTCCTCTCTCTCTCCCTGTCAAAATAAATAAATAAACTTTAAAAAAAAAGAAAAGAAAAGAAAACCTCAAGTGCGTTTCCAGATTGTGAGGAAGCAACAAGAGAAAAGACATGAAAAACGAGGAGGAAAAAGCAGTACCTGGTAGAAGGGACCTGTAAATGAGGAGACTGGCACAGAGGATCTTGACAAGAATGAGAAATTGCGATAACTAGGAACTCTATTTTTAGAGCTTCTAGAATGTTCTCTCAACATATAAACATGCCCTTTGATAGCCACTGGCCTCGGCTCTCACACTGGCTCAGAGACCTCCACGATGCACTGTGCCATCACCAACGCCAATCCAGGCCCTAGATCCCTGTGACCGTGAATGTGGATGAGCACCTGCAAGGGTGTCCACGAGGCTGCACATGAAGACTGAGCCACAGGGAAGGTCAAGGCACTCACCTTGCATCATACTCCTGTAGGCAGTGTCTGTGATGGCATAGATGTGGGGGGGCATCTCGTGCCTCTTCTTGCCCTTGTACATTTCCACGATCTCCTCGGAGTAGATGGGCAGGTTCTTATAAGGATTGATGACCACACAGAACAGGCCTGAATAGGTCTAAAGAAAAGAGCAGCAAACAGGAAAGGGTTAGGCAGTCTTGATTCTCAAGGGGGTACAAATTGGGTGGCAAAGTTATCTGCCACCAAGGCCCGGATTCGGGCTGCTGTGAAGGCACCCCGGGACGCCCTAACTCTCTGTGCCGCGCCCTGCCAGGCCCGCTGCGGGGGCACGGGCACCGGCACCATCTCTGCTCACTCAGCAAGGGTGCTCCCCCGACGGCGTGACCGCTGCCAGCTCTGTGCGCCAACGAGCAGGTGCCTCGGGCAAGAGCCATGGCAAGCTGCGCAGACGGTACGAGTCCAGTGACAAAACTCAGATCCAGGGACAATAAGAGATGTGTCTGCCGTCACGAGATGCACAGAGAGAAAAGAACCGGGCTGCAGCAAAAGCAAACTGTGCAGAAACACAACGTATTACGCCCTCAAGGACTCTCGGGGAGACAGGCAAGCCTACACTTTTCCAGCATCGGGAAAACCCCGACCAGACCTTTTGTGGGCTAGTATATCGCTGACAGCTCTCCCTCTCGAATCGTCTAGAGACATTCACGTGAGCATCCCTCAAAAACTCGACCATTTTCATGTCCCCCGTGAGCCTTCTCCAAGACTCGAGTCTTCTCAGAAGGGGGAGCCCGATTAGCCAACACCCTTCACGTGAGGCACCCAAAAATACACCCAATACTCCAAGTCTGACCTGATGGGATTAAAATCCGACCCCAGAGTCAGCCGTCCTGAGTTCAAATCCCAGCAAGGGCCAAGTTTCTTAACCGCCCTCTCCCTCTATTTCTCAATCTGTAAAGTGGGGACAGCCGGACTCTATGCCTCCCTGAGCAGTTTTCAGGATTGGCACGCACCCAGGAAGGCCTTGGAGAAGAGCTCTGAGAAGGTCAGGAAAGCAGGGTCCAGTGGCAACTGGCCAGACAGCTCTGTCTTTCTTCAGGGGCTTAAGGTAAACTCGTGTTAACTTGTGACTACTAATTCTTTTTCTAATAACCTGCTCCTTTGTCTTCCAAGATCTGTCTCCCGGGCCAAAAAAAAAAAAAAAAAAAAAAAAAAAAAAAAAAAAAAGACAGACTCCGAACAAGTTGGGCATGACTCCTGAAGCCACCCAGGTGGTAGGTGCTCAGATGGGGGGGGGGACGCAGCCCAAGCCCCCTCTTCCGAGGACAACACACCAGAGTTCCAGAAGCAGCCACGCAAAGCTGTGATTCACACACACCTGCAGCCCTGACTCTGTTGAGTGACAGCTGAAAGCCATGAAGCAGTTAACCACAAAGCTGGGAGCAGCCCTTGGTGTCCCCCTCCCCCTCCCCCTCCCCAGGCCAGACCTCCCCGGTCAGAGGCCAGTTCTCTGAACTCCTATCTTTTTGTTTTCCTCATTACAAGTGGCCTCCACCCTCACTGTCCACGGCTGTGCCCCTCGGTCCAATAGCAGCCAACACCCACAGGGCACTGTGCTATGTGTCAACCCAGCCCCATCCCGCCCTGCCCTCTCCGCTCCTGCCAAAACGGAAGATGGGTCTTGTGGCTGAACCCCAAGACAGGTTCCACACGGGAACTAGTCGCAAGGACAAAGCCCTTTCCAGCTGCGGCCAAGGGCTATGGCACGTGGACTTTCCAAACAGAAGTTAAAGACTCAAAGCAGAGTTCCAGGAGAGCCTGGGTGGCTCAGTCGGTTAAGCCTTCGCCTCTTGATTTCGGCTCAGGTCATGATCCCAGGGTCGCGGGATCGATCGAGCCCCGTGTCAGGCTCCCGCAGAGCATGGCGTCTGCTTAAGACTCTCAGTCTCCCTGCCTCTGCTCCTCTCCTGCCGGTGCACAGGCTGGCTCACTCTCTCCAAGATAAGATGAAACTAAAAGCGGAGCTCCAGAGGGACCCAGTAACCCACAGTGGTCTGCAGGCCGAAGAGCAGCCAAGTTTGGAAAGGACCAAGTGCATCTGGCTGCCTCTTCTGTTTGGAGGCGGGGACTCGGGGCCCTCAATTTTCTTTCTTCCTGGGATAATCAGTCATTTGTTTTCCCTCCAACGACTCTTTCACAAGGGACCAGGAAAGCTCCGAAGCAGAGAAGGCCACACGTGGTGTGGGCCACCTGCAGCGCGGGTATCACAGGAAGATAAGAGGAAAGCAGGGGACTTCTGGTTTTTCCTCCATGGGACTGTCGGGCCAGGATGAGATAAGGCCAGGGAGCAGTGAGGTCATCCCAGGAGCTCAGAAACAATTGAGCTCTGTTCCTGGGGTTTGAGAAAACCCACACTCTAGGAACTCGGCCCGATGAAAGCCAAGGACACATGGCCACACTTTTAGGGCGTGCCTCCGAGCCAGATGTTTGCAAACAGCTGGTCATGACAGCAGAAGGGGACCAGGGGTTCCCGGGACAAGGCTTTCTGACAGCTGGGTGGGCAGATGGTCCTGTGGACGGTTCTCTCCGGAGACCTTCAAAGTTCTCTGGGCTAATCCCATCAAACCAGCAGCCGTGAGCCCAGCAGCTCAGGTGGGAGGAAGGAGCCCTGATGGCGAGCCTCCCTCTCGATGCTTGCGGAGGCACGGACACCGAGCAAGTGGCTTTGCTCCCACATGGCTACGCCAGGAAGCTGCTCCATTCACGGGCCACAGAGGCTCTTTGTGCCCAGCCGCCCCCTGTCCCGGGGCCTCACCCCCCAAGGAAACAGACAGAGCAGCTGTGCACAGGATTAGCCACGCCGCCCACAATGCCAGGCGAACATGCTGCACAAAGGCTCCCCGGTCGCAATTTGGAGCGTCGTGTGCAGAGAGGTTGACTGTGAATGAGGCGGCATCCCCTGCCCAGCGGCTCCGATCCCCCCACAGCTCTGCACCTGCTGGGGTCCCCATTAGGGCGACTGCGGAGACAATGGACTTCTCTTCCGGGGAGGATGCTTAGGAAGAGGCCGGTCTGAGGCACACAGGAGGCAACAGAAACAGGAGTGAACGCCTCCAACCAAAGAGTCCTGCCTGCCTCCAGAGGGAAACCCACGCTAGCGGAGGAGAAACGAAGCAACCATCATTGAACCCGCTTTAATAATATTTCCCTTTGTGGGACAGAAGACTGCAGCCAGCTAAGGCAGGCGAGCGCAGGCCCCGCCCCCCTGATGTGTGTCGCACTCGGCAAATCCCTAGCAGGACACAAGCTGAACAGAGACCCCCAGCAAAGGCCACGCAGAGGAACAGCTACCTTCACTTAGAACAAACGGCAGCAGCGGCACAGTCCGGACCCTGCCGTGAGCCAGGTGCTGGCTGGCGTTCACACACTCATGAGTCCTCGCCTGCGAGGAAGTGGGGTTCCTCGTAGCCGCGGCGTGTGGTGGGGGAGGGATCTGAACCAGGACCTGGAGGCCCCAAGTGCCGTGACCTTCATCGCCCTGCTTCACCAAGCAGAGCCTGTGTCAGCTTAGGGGCACAGCAGAGTGGGCACGATCTGCTGTGGAGCCTGCCTGGGGGGCGTCCCACTCTCAGACAATAGGACTTGGCTCCCAGCTGCCCCAGCAGACAAACGATGCTTTCTCAGAGGCCCCCTGTTTTTCTACCAGTCGCCAATTCTGAATTCCAGTGGTTAATATCCTTAGGGACAGGGGCTTTTAATTCTGTCCATACGACATTCTCACCAAGGAAAAGATAGCTGGGCTGAGGGTCAAAAACCCCCGAGCTCCAGTCTCAGGATGCATGATCCTGCACTGGGCCCTTGCCCCCTCTAGGCCTCAGTTCTCCTCACCTGCCGTATCAGCAGGTTGGGCTAAGCTGGCCTACAAAGGACTTTTCCAAGAAGACGCTTCTGTGTATTTCCTTTCTGGTAGCTCCTGACTAATCAGGCCCATCCCCAAGGGGTGGTCTTCAACGGCAGGACATAAGAACTTCATTATCATGGACCGATTTAGCAATCGGCAAGGTAACACAGCCCCGGCATGCGGCTGGCCCGGTCAGAACTCCTGGGCAATCAATCCAAGAGGTTTGGGACTTCACAGAGGACTCTGGCACGTGGCAGGGCACTCGGAAGTAGCAGTCCAGGATGGCAGGGCAAGTGCCCTGTGGAAACATGTGCTGAGGTCACCCTGAAACTGTATAGAAAACAAAATGGCCGACTCTGTGGGGGCCACTCGCCATCCGTGTGCCAGGAGGAGCCCAGCACCTCCTTGTATTGCGTATATGATCATGAGCTGACCCCTGGGTCTGAGGCTTGGGCTTCCCATCTATGAAATGAGAGGGTGGTAAGCATCTCGAGATGTTTTCTTCCTCCAATTCAAACAAAGTTTTGAGAACTGTTTCATTCAGCTCCAAGACCAAGAAGGCCAAGGTAAACATAACAACATACCTAAACAAGGAGCTATTTTAGGAATAAGAGCCAGGTAGTTCTTCCCTACCTGGGACAAAACTAGAAGGAAATACCTGGGACACTGAACAGAAGAAATAAGAAATTAGCAATAACTTTTGTGACCCTAAGACTGAAAGACCTTGCAGCCTATTACACAGGAGACGGGAAAACGCTATGGTGAGGAGCTGTCTCTGTGCACAGGTAGCCCTGCTAAGCCAGAAGAAAGAGGGTGGCTCAGTTGGTTAAGCAACTGACTTCGGCTCAGGTCACGATCTCACGGTTTGTGGGTTCGAGCCCCGCGTCAGGCTCTGTAACTGACAGCTCAGAGCCTGGAGCCTGCTTGGGATTCTGTGTCTCCTCCTCTCTCTGTTCCTCCCCTGCTAGTTCTCTGTCTCTCTCTGTCTGTCAAAAATAAATAAGCGTTAAAAAAAAAAGAGAGAGAAGGGACAGCGCCTTCGCTGCACACCCCGGGCCCTTTACACGTGCTGTTCTCTGGACCCTAAGCCTGGCAGGGCAGGGGCACCGCCAAGCGGCACGGACCAAAGGTTCAAGTCCTCATCTCCGCTCAAAGCACACTCCCCAGGGAACTAAGCCACACCCACAGGCCTCTAAAAAGAACAAGATGGTGGAGGTTCCAAAATGAGAGTGAGCAAATGGGGAGGGGGAAGGGGACCAGGAGGTGCAGGAGGAAGGAGCGAGGCGGGAAACCAGGGCATGGCAGTGCCTTGCTTTAGAAGGAACTATCCTTCCTGTCCCCACCGAGACTGAGGACCAAGGCCCGTGGGTGGGCCCCCACACATATACATCATGATGTTCTCCCTATGTGTGGTCTCAAACAGGCTTCCTGTCGTGTTTCGGGCTACGTGAAAAGGTGAAATAATGCCGCGACAACATTCCATTAGGATGTTCGCGTGCCAAAGCTGGAGGATGTCACCGCAGCTTTCTTCAAGACCCCCAACGCTCCAGGACAGACCCGGGCCTCCCGCGCCCCCTGCGCCCTGGGCCCGGCCCCGCACTCACGTAGATTAGCCCTGAGTAGTAACGCTCCTTGAGATTGTGCAGCACCGATGCTTCGTTGAGGCACGTGAGCTCGGCCATGTCCTCCACCTTGGAGAACTTGGGTGGGTTCATCTTCTGGATGTCATCCTTGTTCACTTTCACCTTCTTCCCGTTTTCCACCAGCTCCACGATGGCCTCCTCGCCCACCTCTTCCTTGAGGCTGGCGGGCTCAAAGCCACTCTTGTCAGAAGGCACCCAGACCAGCTTCTTAGCCGCCCAGTCGGCCTGGGCCAACGGGTTATTGATGAAGTTTTTATCCACATAGAGATACTTATCAGCAGCTTGCTGAGCCATGGTGACTTACAGCCAGGACCTGCGGGACAAACAAGGACAAAATGTCAGGTACAAGCCACATCAGCCACATGAGGAGCGCTGAGCACCTCCTAGCTTTGCAAACGGCACGGCATTAGAGCAGAGCAAAACTTCTGCAACTGGGAGGCACTGGGAGAAAGATGTACATGACGGAAAAAACAGGTTGTCAGAGATCTTGCGAGAAACCAATGGTAAGGTATATCCTAGGATCCAGCCACAACCAACAAATCTATAAACGACCGCTGTGCCGGATGACGAGTGTAATTTGAGTCTCAAAGACAGATGCAACCATAGTCACTGTGCTATACCTGCCGAGGCAGGAAAGTGACCACGCAGCTCAAGAGGACCTCCCGCGAAAACAAGTTTCCCAGTAGCCCCCCAAAAAGGCAAAAAGTGCGACCGCACGTAATGGAAGTTGTCCGTTCAAAAAACTTTTTATTTCACGGAGTTCCACCAAGAGGGAAAAAAAACACAAAAAACAAAAAAAAAAACATGTGGCCAAGAGATGTTAATTCCATCTTGATAATACAGCCCAAAGAAATCAGGGGAAAAGAAAAGTCGGACTCCAGGAAATATCATGAGCAGCGAGAACACCTCCCTCCCGGGGCACTAACGCGGAAAGCACCCCTCACCATTTGTGTCCAGGAGAACTGAGGCACATGTGTGTCTTTTTTTTTTTTAAACTCATTTGCAAAATAAAGATGAAACAATAGCCCCTCACACCGGTGTGGCTTAATGGTTTATGAAATGCTTTCGCACGCCCTTTGCTGTCTCCAAAGATCCTCGTCATAACGCTGCAGAGTGGGTAAGACATGTGCTTCAGCCCATTTTACAGATGAGGATCCGGGAGCTTCCTGGAGGTTCAGGGGCTTGTCGCCCAGGGAGGACTCAGGACTCCCGGTCCCGTGGCCTTTCCACGGTTACCGCAGTGCTTATTCCTGCTCACAGGCTCAGGCTGGGGCCCTCAGGACTCTGAACGCAGGACTCCGAAACCGTGGGCCGAGATAGAGCCAGCCCACAGCCACCAGGGGAGCAGCCCAGAAGCTCACTGCCCAGCTCACAACGCAGGAAAGCCTTTCCCTTGTGAGGTCAAGGCCCCCTCCCCAGGCTGGAGGTTTGGGACAGAGAGAACAAAAGGAAAAGTCTGGGCCGCCCAGGCCTTATCTGGGCTCGTTAAATGCTTTCCAGATCAAGACTAAGGGGCTCCCCTGGACACGCTCCAGGAAAAGGGTTGTTTTCCAGGAAATCTGCTCTCTTCCCAGCCCCCACAGGAGGGAAGGCAAGTCCAAGGAACAGAGCCTGGCAGCCTCCCCCAGCAACCCCAGCCGGTGGCTTTGTTTACATTCCCAGCCAAGCAAACCCCTGCGGCCCCTCTTGGGGGACCAGGGGCATCATCCACCTGCAAGGACCACCCCCTGAGAGAACGCAGGGCCCAGAGCCAGGCAGCAGTCCACAAGGCAGGAAGGGACGGCCTGGCCTCATCTTCCATGTGGGGCTGGGGTCTAGGCCGCCTGCACGCCCCAGCCTCACCAGCTTAGTTCCGGCTGTCCCGGTTCCCACACTGGCCAGGCCATTCAAGCAAATCGGAGGCTTCCCTCTGCCAGAGTAAACATCAGCTGTCCTGTCCCTCTGTGCCATCCATCTGACCACTGGCCAGGTAGCCTCCCCAGTCTCAGGACCCAGGCTCCCGAAGCCAGTCTCCCCCTCATGCCACTGCCCTGCCCGAGGACTGGCAAGGACCACAGAGCACACGGCTTCGCGGGCTGCTGGGTCTCAACCTTTTTGCAAAGTTCAAACCAAAAATGGACAAGATAATCTCCTATCAATACGTAAGAAGGATTCACTTGAACCCTGTCCCCCCAAATCCTAAGTCTGCTGCTGGTTAAGAGTTCTCCTAACCCAGCCCAGGGAAGACACCCGAGGATATCTATCACATGCCCTCTTATGAGATCCCTCCAAGAGAAGAAGGGAAAGGGGGACAGTCATTAGGTCCCTGACCTACCAACATCAACCTTGCATCACCATCAATCGCTCTGCAAACGAGCTTTTATTATCCCCAATTTATAAATGAGGAAACAGGCTCCAAGAGGGCCAGTGACTTGCCTACTGTCCCCCCTTCCAGTCATGGGTCCACCAGGCCCCCCGGCCTGGGGTCTCCTTAGCACACTTGTGCCTAGGGTCCCACGGAAGAAGTCGGGCTGGAGTTGAAGCTGGATCAATCGGTAAGTTGAGTGGGACACGGGGTGTGTGGGGGAATACATTCCACAGCGGTCAACACACAGTTACTGGGCTCTACCAGGCAAGGCAGGGAGGCTGAGGGAGCCTTCCCTGTGTGGACCACGTGACCAGTCCAAAAGCAGGGCGCACTAGAACTGTTACATTCTTGCCCTCCTGGTCTTCCACCGGTGCGTGTGCACTGGCCGGCCATGAACATGGCAGCCGCTGGCAGGGGACCACTCCACCTGGCCCCTCATTCTGCCCTACCTTCAGGCCTCAGTGGGAGGGAAGGGGGCGCTTACGGGGCAGCACTGTCTACCCCCAATGGCCACCAGAGACCTAGAGGCCAAGCCGCACTTCCTATAAGAGAGGGGGGCACGCTGTGACCGCCTCAGAGCTAGACCAACACAGGGGGCTGCCCCTCTCTGCCTCTGGGGGTGCCGAGTACACAGGTGGGCACCCTATATGTAGGTGGGCCTCCGTGCCCCTCTCTGAGCAGAACTTTCATGAAACGCAGCTGAGCCCTGTTTGGCCAGGCCGGGGACAGAGCCATTTGGTGTCACTGCTCTGCTGGAGTGATGTGGGTCAGCAGCAGTGCCAAGGTCAATACGCGGGTTGGATGGCAGTGGTGGGGGTCACAGGTCACCACAAACAATGGGGTTTATTAAAGCCCTCCCGCCAGCGCAAACAAGAATATCCATATTCGGTGACCGCAGCTGAGCTCCGGTGCCCACCTGAGTCAGGTGAAGGCACCCTCGGGTCCCAACAGGGCTGCCAGCGATGCACTCAGGGGACGGTCAACTCTAAGGGCACAGATGGACTAAGCCGTTAGTCAAGAGCTGTTAGAAATGAAGAGGGGAAAGAGAAAGAGAAAGAGAGAGAGAGAGAGAGAGAGAGACGAAGGGAAGGAGGATGAACAGAAGGAAGGAAGGGATGAAAAGGGGCATCAAAGAAGGGATGCTAGGGGGGCGCCTGGGTGGCGCAGTCGGTTAAGCGTCCGACTTCAGCCAGGTCACGATCTTGCGGTCCGTGAGTTCGAGCCCCGCGTCAGGCTCTAGGCTGATGGCTCGGAGCCTGGAGCTGTTTCCGATTCTGTGTCTCCCTCTCTCTCTGCCCCTCCCCCATTCACGCTCTGTCTCTCTCTGTCCCAAAAATAAATAAAAACATTGAAAAAAAAATTAAAAAAAAAAAAAAAAAAAAAAAAAAAAAAAAAAGAAGGGATGCTAGGGAGGCATGTGGCCACTTCTCCCCTCCCTAGCCTGGGACCATGCTGAGTGGCCCCTTTTGTAAAAACTATACAAAATATAAAAGTTTTGAAAATGAAAGACAAATATCCCCATACATTCCTGAGATCCTCCACCCCCCCCCCATCAGTTTGCCCTTTCTTTTTTTAATGTTTGTTTATTTTTGAGAGAGACAGACAGACAGAGTGAGCGAGGGAGGGGCAGAGACAGGGAGACACAGAATCCGAAGCAGGCTCCAGGCTCCGAGCCGTCAGCACAGAGCCCGACGCGGGGCTCGAACTCATGAATCATGAGATGATGACCTGAGCCGAAGTCGGACGCTCAACCACCTGAGCCACCCAGGCACCCCAGTTTTCTGTCTCTTTTATGGTCCTTCCGGTCCTTGTTCATAGAAACACTTGAGACTTTTAATTATCACAGGCAGAGCACGGGGTTTCACGTTGTGGATTTTTCCCATTTACTATAACCACTTCCCCGCTGGGCCATTAGTTTCCTTGTTGATCATTTTCTCCAAACGCTTCATTTTCCAGGTGATGAGGCAGAGGCTCTGAGAGGGAAGTAATCCCACTTGGACACACAGCTGGGGAAGCGAGGACCCAAATTCAGGACTGCTGGCTGCAGGGCCTCCTTGAGAAACACTGTTCATGGCTGCAGGATATTCCAAAGTGACTTTTTTTTTTTTAAACCACCACGCACTAGGTTTTCTCCTTGTATGGTGGACCATCTTGAGATCAATTCCCAGAAGTGGAGTGACTGGAACAGGGGAACATCCAGGCATTGTTATGGCCCTGACAGGTACGACTCAAAATGTTTTCCCCCAGGGTCGACGGGCTCGGTCCCATGACCAGCGTCCCCATGCGGCGGCCACCAAGCCAGCACTGGGAAAACTGTCTGCAGGAGTAAGGCCGGTGGTTCAGCTTAGGGAACCTCAGGAAATTCTGGAAATCTGTGGGACTCGCAGGCCAGCAAGGAGTTAAGGAAAAAGAAGGCAGCTTTCCCCATTGGAGATCAGATCCGGCAGAGGCCGGCCCTTTCCACACTGGCTTCCTGCGGGTGCCAGTACAACGCCAAGAAACCCAAGTAGTTGCCTTTTTAGGCCATAATCGAGAGGACACGACCAGAGGCTAAATTAGGACTCACAGGAAATGATGAAACTGAAAGTAAATAGGTTGACCAAAAACCTCTGCTTTCAACCCAAAGTGGAATTCCTTGACTATCTGCCTTCTCCCCTTTCCCCTGAACACCCACTTGGACCTTTTTACTCTTTCCTTTTTTCCCAAGGACCCCCTCTCTCCCCTACCTTCCTGCCCTTTGCTTGGTTCTCTTTTTAGTTACTTGTATACTTGTTTAAGAAAGGAAGGGCTAGCCCCTAAAAGACAGAATTTATTCTGCCGGGAGCTTCTCGATTCCTCAACAACGGGGTTTGTGTAAAGCCTTCCGTGGCCAGGTTCTAGGCCTAGGGCTTCAAGTTCTCCCAACCCGTCTCAAAGCTACCCTGTGTGACGGCCTGGGAATAAGCTCTCCATTTTCTCCATCC